GTAAGTGCCGCGGCCCCGCGCCCGCAGCCCGCCTTCACCGCGCCTTCTGGGAGGTGCGGTCCCGCACTTTCTCACCTTGCTCGCGAGGCACCCCACGAGGTGGGGAGGGCTAGTGTAGCTCGCGCTTCTCCTTTTCCCTTGCAGACACTTGCACAGTTGATGATCTTTCTTATTGGCATTGTCAGTTCCATACTCTGTGGACATCTGGGGAAAGTCGAGATGGATGCTGTTATGATTGCTGTATCGGTAGGTTTTAGAATGTTTATCTTTTTATTTGGGCTGGCCACATGGTAAAGCCTAAGAATTTGAGTTGCATTATGTCTGACACGCCTTCCTCTACAGGGTTGGAGCTTAACCCAGGGGTACCATTACCTCATCTTTAGATTTGAAAGGAGATCGTGTCAACTATTTAGAAAGATGGTTGGTGCTCTTAAACCATCCAGTAGTGGCGAGCTCTAATGACAGGGGGACCACGTATTGCAAGGAATTTGTAGCAATTAGGTAAAATGTACTGGTGAAATTAAAGAACTTAATTTTTTCCTATTACAAAACCAAAGAATTTTTAGTCTGGATTGTATGCCATTAGTCTGAATTACACAGTGCATTAAGGTCACACTATTTCATCCTTGCCGTTATGCCGTTAAGTGTCTCCCTTTGGGCATGGATTGAATTACAAAAGAGATCTTTTGTTGATGAGGTAGTGGAAAGTTGCCTCTCTCTTGCATTTCATCCGGGCTTTCAAAGAAAGGTGAAAAATACTCCTCCTTCAGGTGATGGCAGGTGATCTTTCCCAGTCTCAGAATATATTCCTTCTGTCACCGCAGGAGGTGGGTACATGCCCTAAGATTACTGCGGGGCCACAGAAGTTTCAGTTTCGGCTTTATAGTTGAGATGACCTCGCTATGTGGAATCAGACATTTTATTTACAGGTCTGTTATTGGGCGGACTAATTTGGGTTAAGGGATATTACTGTTTCCTTTGAAAGTTTAGATTGGGCATCAAGAAAGAGTCAAGAAAGAAGAGGAGCTTTATATACAGGCTATGAACAATGTCCCCTCCAAGAAGGATGAGCTTGACCCCTCCACTGCATAGGGCAATGTGGCTTTTGCACACAATGTACTCCTGGTCACCGTGTTGACTGTTAACAGTGGATAATTATTTGAAACTTAAAGGGACACTTTCTCCAGTTTCTCCATAGGAGCCTAGGATTGGGGTCCACTTTTCCTATTACTGTTTCTAAACTGTTGCTTCTCAGTGCCTATTATTTTTATTTTTTTAAAAATTAATTTTTTATTGAGGTATAATTATCATATAACATTAATTTCAGATGTACAACATGATTTGGTATTTGGGTATTTTGTGAAATGATCGCCAAAATAAGTCTAGTTAACATCTGGTACCAGACACAGAAAAAAATTTTCTTTTGGTGAGAAGTTTTAAGTTATACTCTTAGCAACTTTCAGATATGCAACACAGTATTATTAAATATAGTTACCATGCTGTACATTACATCCCTGTGCTTTATTTATTATATAACTGGAAGTTTGTACCATTTGACCACTTCACCCATTTTATCCCACTCCGCATCCCACCTCTGGCAACCACCAATCTGTTCTCCGTATCTATGAATTTGGTTGTTTTGTTTGTTTCGATTCCACATATAAGTGAGAACATATAGTATTTGTCTTTCTCTGTCTGACTTATTTAACTAAGCATAATGCCCTCAAAGTCCATCCATGATGTCGCAAATAGCAAGATTTCCTTTTTTTTTTTTTTTTTTTGGTGGATACACACCACATTTTCTTTATACATGCATCTATCTGTGGACTCCTAGGTTGTTTTTATATCTTGGCTATTGTAAATAATGCTGCAGTGAACATAGGGTTGCATGTATTTTTCTGAGTTAGTGTTTTTATTTTCTTCAGTTAAATATCCAGAAGTAGAATCGCTGGGTCATATGAAAGTTCTATTTTGAAATTTTTGAGGATTCTCCATACTGTTTTCCATAGTGGCTGCACTACCTTACATCCCCACCAACGGTACACAAGAGTTTCTTTTTCTCCATATCCTCACCAACGCTTGTTATCTCTCGCCTTTTACTGATAGCCATTCTAACATGTGTGAGGTAATAGCTCATTGTGTTTCTGATTTGCATTTTCCTAATGATTAGTGATGTTGAGCCCTATTTCAGGTACCTGTTGGCCATCTATATGTCTTCTATTCAGATCCTCTGTTCATTTTAAATCAGATTGTTTGTTTGTTTGTTGCTCTTGAGTTGCATGAGTTCTTCATATATTTTGGCATTGATCTCTTATCAGATATTTGCAAATACTCCCTTCCATTACAGAGGTTGACTTTTCATTTTGTTAATGATTTCCTATGCTGTGCAGAGCTTTTAAGTTTAATGTAGTCCCACTAGTTTATTTTTGCTTTTGTTGCCCTTGCTTTTAGAGTCAAATTCAAAAAAGCATGGCAAAGACCAATGTAAGGGAGCTTACTGCCTATGTTTTCTTTTACGAATTCTATGGTTTCAGGTCTTACATTCAGGTCCTTAATCCATTTTGAGTTAATTTTTGTATATGGAGTAAGATAGGGGTCCAGTTTCATACTTTTGCATGTGGCTGTCCAGTTTTCCCAACACCAATTATTAAATAGACTGTTCTTTTGCAGTGCCCATTTTTGGGCAGTTCATCCAGGTATACTGTCTTGTATTTTTCCCATTTGATGATATCTAGTGGCTGGTAGGTGGCCTCTTCTGTGTTCATGGAAGACCTTAGCGTCTCTCTATGGCTGTGGGGGCCCCACCTCCCTTAATCTCACTAGCTTCCAGGACTCCCTGAATCCACTTCAGGCCCCA